TTTATTTTATGCATTTTCTAGTCCATTTAATAAGTCGACCGCTCGTAACATTATGGTTAAACAAAGTAATTCTTCCAAAAATCGTAAAGAAATCAATTTTTTTGTCATTAAATCTTTCGCCCGCGACTCCGTCCGCGTGGAATTTAAAAAAAAAAAACAAAGAGTAGCCTATGTGTTCTTACAGGGTATCCTTTACGTCTATGCCAAATTTCATCGAGATCAGTCCCGCCTTTAAGGCTACAAACTCTAACTTTCGCATCCATCCATCTAAACTTTCGCATTTATAATATTAGTACGATTAGTAAGATACGCAATGTAATAAAAGATGCATACTATTGACGATTGTCAGTCTGCATTGTCAGAATTTTATTCCTTTAGAAGTGATAAAAGAAGTATCAATAGCTAGTTATCGTTCAACGTTTCGAAATATTTTCAACATAATTTCGTTGACATCAAGGTCATTTTCAACTTCAATAGACTACAAACTAAATGTTAGACACTTACATAAGCCGGGTTTGAAAGAAATTTCTCGAATAAATTGTAGACGAAACAATTGCCTTTTAAATGTCTTTGTTTTCGGTTATATATTGGCAGATATAGAGTTAGGCTTTACTTTCCTAGAAAACAGTTCCTGTCCACAGAAAATTAAGTCTTTTGAAATTATAGTTAATCTTCTTATAATAGTATGTTCAAGTACCGTTTATTAACTGTCACCTTTCTGTAATAACATATTTGTACTGTATGTATATCGTGTAGCAGTTGCAGTTGTCGTACGGTATATTTACTACAATGTTGCTTGTTGTTAACTTACTCGTGTGATCGTGACAAATAACCAAAAATTAAAAACAATAAATGTAGTCTAAAATATAACACACATTGTTGTATTGAAAGTTTTTGGTTATTAAAAACTAACTATTGCTCTTGACTTCTCTGGCTTGGCATTAAAAAAATATATAGCCTATGTTATTCACAGATAAATTATTTCTAATGGTGAAATAATTTTTAAAATCTGCCCAGTAGTTTTTGAGTTATTTCAATACGCGCAAATCTTTCTTCTTTATAATATTAGTATAGACTCGCCGTTCCCGTGCAGCTTCATACGAATAAATTATGAAAATTATATATTATTGTTTATATTTCTCAAGTTATCAATAGCAAATGTCAAAATGACATGACATGACAAACCTTAGCAATCTTGCTTCCTTGATGTTGGCAGCAACTTATGGTCTCTTTCCCACATTAGGGCTTTAATCCAAAATATTTATCCCCCAAGTTTAACGGCGTGGATATATATAGCCTAAAGCGTAACCTAAGTGTAGGGTGTTTTTATTAAAAAAAGAATTATCCAAAATTATGCTGTAATTGCTGACATCTTAGGCAACGAAGAACTGTGTGTTTACGCTTTATTATAATAGTATAGATACCCATGCATACCTTAAATCTGTTTCCCACGGAAAATAAATATTTAATCATGGTGTGATGTTAATCTATATTAGTTTTAAAAAGGAATAAAAAAAAACATTACATAATTAATATATGGTACTTGTCAAATATCAATGCGGGTCGCTAAATCGCATAAAGTGCATTGTCATTGTACCCTCTGCGATTGCCAGTGAGCCTGAGAGGTTCGTTATCATTTGCACGACCTTCTGTGGGAACAATGGCGTTATGTAGCCACCCACTCGTGTAACCTTAGTCGTATTTTTAGCTGCAGGAAGGTTCAACGCTCATATTTCCTCGACGTGGCTCACATCAACTACTGACTATATGGCACACGTTTATCTTTCCTTTATTTCGACTGATGCCACATAAATTATAACTATTATCACTATTTTCAGTTACGGCATAAACATGAATTAAAAAGTACGTTTGCAATATCAATTTTTATTTGATAATTATGTTTCTTATTTAGCCCGCGACTCCGCACGCGCGGAATTATAAAAAAAAAACAAATGTTCTATCCTCTACATCTATGCCAAATTTCATCGAAATCCATTCAGCCGTTTAGGCTGCAAACCCTATCCATCCTTTTAACTTTCGCATTTATACTTGTAATTTCAAATTTTTGTTTGATAATTATGTTTATTACTATTTAACATTGTTAGTTTTGGCGATAAAATGAGTAAAAAAGCATTTATGGTTTCGAGGATTTACGTAGGGTGCACGGTCATTTTTTATTTATTCAAAGTTGATCACCTCCAATTGTATGTCTTTGTATGGTCTTTGACCTAGAAGCTACAATGGAAGCTCTAGGACACTATACAACATGATTTGTTCACGTATAATTTTAAGATGTTATTGCACAAGAGTTGTTGCGTAACAATTACGTTGAAATAGGGATACGTGTACCTCAGGCATTGGAACATGCAAGAAACAATGTGATTGTGTAATCATAATTTTGGATATATAACTATAGAAACACATAATTTGAACAAGTAAATTTCTTTTAGAACGAGTTTATTTAATTACCATGAGCAGTTATCTCATAATCACCAGTATACGTCCCCACCGAGGGGCTCGGTGCCTATCCTAAATAAGGGGTGACATCCTAAATCAACTACGCTGACCCAGTGCGTATTGGTTGACTTCACACATATCTTTGAATTTCTTCGCCGTTATGTGCAGGTTGCATCATAAAGTTTACGTTTATCTAGATTTTTCAAATTGCTATTCTAACTTTCTATAAATATTCTTGTTGTTCTAAATTATGCCATTATAATGTACCATTTTTTTACCGTGATTTCTGGAATTACTGCCTTTCAGAAGTTGTGGGACCAATTCTAATAAATAAGTGAATACATTAGTATAGTAAGTAGTTCATGATATAATTCTTTTTGTCGGAAGTTTGAAAGCCCTTTCGTGTAATCACGTAGTAACTGCTTTGTTCGTAAACATTTTAGTAGCAATGACTAATAGCAATAATTGTGCGTCAGCAGAACATCAGGACTATGACTCAAACAATTTAAACTCAATACCATTTTGAACTGTTACAAATTTCAAACAATATATAGTAATGTGGACATCATTAACTTAAAAGCAAGTTGCATCAGAAACTCGTTACCTTACCGTATGGTTTATCTTGAACGTTAATTTCCGGCAATCAACAAAAGCTGTCCCCTACGCAGGGTATATTTAGCCCCGCACATGTGGGAACACAAAAGAACTGAGTACACGCAAGGAATAAAAAATATAAACTACACCGGCCGCGGGTTCAATAGCCTTGGCTTGCGGCAAATGTAGCCTTTATTGCAATTTAAACTTCTATTTAGCACCTGTCTGATGGTAATTGAAAATGGAACAAGAATAACCATGCAGGTTACTTCGCTAATACTAACGAATAGTTCAAAGTTTTTCACGATTAGTAGTACTTAATAGGTTAATTATTATATCGGTTTTAAAACAAACTCTAACACTAATTGTAGCTTTGAAAAGATATAAAATCAGTACTGTAGGGTAATAAATTTGCCATAATATTACGCTTTGTATGAAGAAGTGGAACACCTAAATGATGCTAATAGTTAGGTACATTGTACAATCCATGATAACTGTATTGTTGTGGTTGAGAGGTTTTTTGAACTACCTAAAATCATTTAAAACGCACACATTCCTCCAAAGAAAACTGATATCTTAGTGATTCTATCAGTTTTATGCAGTTTTAAATCTTGCCTGTTAGCTATATGAGTATTTATTATCGTTTTTATTTAATTTCAATGTCGTTAAATGGATTGAAATTTAAAATCGCATAAAATAAAATTACATGTGTTGATATTTATATGAAAACTGTGAGAATTAATTACTTGTACAATTTTCCCAAGGGTTTTCCTCAGTCTTCGTCAAACAACATTAATGGCGTTGCTTATTTCACCTCGATATGTTTGCCTTTTAAAAAGTAAACAACTTAATGTAAATTGACGAGTTTTTAAAACCTTTGTACCTTACATACGTACTTGATGATTGCTTTTCTACTGGAAAAATCTTAAAACCAGTTTCATATTCCTAATTGGTATTTTAAACATGATTCCATCATGTACATTAAAGCAGTTAAAACTGAATTATGAATACATTTTAATAGAAAATACAGCATATATCAAAATGTTTCTTTTCTTTCAACATCAAGTCAATGATCCACATTGAAGTCCCAAAGGTCAAAAGCCGCTTTAAGAAGAGTTTCTGTCGTGCTTATGTCGGCGGGGACACTGCCCCCAGATTAGACTAGTTAATATCCATTCTACTTACAAAAATACAGACGATTCTGTGGATATTAAATGCAGAGTACCGTTACATTTGTATTCATTTGCCACTATTTATTGGCATTCTTTCTCGCCAAGCCTATGTTTTGGAATCTCGTTTCTCCTTTATGTTGTCCAGCGTGCCAGCATTATAGTATTCAATGTTTTCTTTAGACATGTTTGGCGCGTGTCTGGATTCATACCAACGTTTGTAGGTAAAGAATCGTTGTAATGTTATAGCGGAACAAGATCTCGACTATGCCTTATTTTCATTATGGTGCTCTTTAATAACTTACAGAGAATTTATAATATTGGTTTTTACTGTTCAATATTGTAAATAGGAGATAAATGTTTTGAGCATGTTACAAAGATTCGTTTCGGTTCATCCGACACTATATGTCTCTCAAGGAGAGTTGATTGTTTTAGTGGACCGTTGCCTGCTCGAGAGCTGACCCACTTTTGTGACCCCACACCGCTACACAAATTTAAACGACTCAATTTAGAATTTGCCTATGATTTATTGACATTTGTGATGCTTTAACGGTTCTTGGCACTAATACTTTCAATATACCAAAAGCACATACTTATTAGTATTGAACTTTAGTTACTACGTAATTGTTAAAGGTAAAATTTGTTTTAATTATAATTTTCCGTTTAAACTGTTTTGCAGCATGATGTGACATATTCTTCGAACGATATTACGTTAATTTGACTCAAATAATAATCATTTTAAAATTCATGGTAATTAATGAATGTATTCATCATTTGCAGGTTCACGAGGACAACATTGTCGGCTTCGGTATTTCGAGTAACGGAAAATTCATGATGTCGTGCTCATCAAAAACGGACATGGTGATCTGGGACCTGAAGGGCCAACAACTAGACCGACTGGACACATATCTGATGAGCACGCATGCTGCCAAGATATCTCCGTGCGGTCGCTTCGTTGTAGCCACTGGTTTCTCGCCCGACGTCAAAGTGATGGAGGTCTATTTCACGAAGTCGGGAGAGTTCAAGCAAGTATCAAAAGCTTTCGAGCTAACCGGCCACTCGTCTGGAATATATGACGTGGCGTTCGACGTCGACACATCCCATATCGCTACCATATCCAAGGATGGCACGTGGAAATTATACCACACAAAGAGTGAGTATGAATGGAATATTTAATGCGCATGTTTCGTTATCTATGAACAGACGCTGCGCCATTTACTGACAAATAGTTGCATGGTCCGCGCCTTGCTACGTGCCGTATCTGTTTGAGTTTTTGCAGACTCGTCACGCGGTAATGTTGTGCTTGTACGTAATGATCATCACTTCTCAATATGCTATTTTTATTCAAGCCCTTAGCAAAACAAAGGAATGGTATACTATTACAGTTAGGATGTAAACCATCGTAAGCAAATACGGTAATTGATTATTAATTGTTCAGATTTAAAAGTCTGATTTATTTTCCCACAGCACTAAAGCAAGCTTATAATGGAATTACCGACTGCACTTACGTTATAGAATTAATTTGTTATAACAGGAAAACTCGTAGGTACAAGACAGTACGTAATGTGGGCCGAGTCCGTTGGGGTCAGTCCAGACTTTTTACGTGGCTCTGACGTAAGACGTATGTACCAGCATTGCATCACGCGACGTTCTACGATGCGTGCGAATCCTTGCAAAATCTACTCGCGATTAATATGGCTATACCCAGTTTTTTACGTTGCCAATAATTGCCGGCTTTGAATATCAATGATTTTATCTATTTTTTATGGTAAACGGCCATCATATGGAAACCACGAGTAGTTGTAATTACTTACACTAACCAGAGGAATTATCGGCATTTGTTACATTTATTAAGACTAACAGTGGATCGCGACTTCGTTCGCGTGAAATCAACAGAATATTAAAAAAATATAGCCGTAGCTTTTTAATGGTGAAATAATTTGAAATCGGCCTAGTAGTTTTTCAGTTATTACAATACATAAAAATACAAATTCTTTCTCTTTATAATATAGAAATGGTCTTCAGGGCGTATGGTTTTTAATGTGTCGTTAACAGGTTAAATTACACATTTTTATTTTTACATTTTGGTATCTGTTAATGTAAAGGAACTATAATGTTGCCATACTAACATTGAGTTGCATTTAAATGGTCTACTTATTGAAACAAGGCGTCAATTTACAAAATGATGGCGCGCAGTCATGTGATGGTAGAGCATATCAAATTACGACTGACGACAATTACAAGCTACCTCTAATTTCTTGCAATACGACACGTTACTATGGTAGCGAATTTATTGCCCAGCTAATATTTGGTTACATTATATTAATTAGGTCATTATTATTGTTACAATAACAAATATAAACACTAAGGTAACCGTGTTAATAAAATGTATTTTTTAATTATAATAAAAACAGTATGAGTAAGATTGTTTGCTGCATTTGTGGTTGTAACTTACCAACTTCTTAATAGAATTTCATGCCGTTTCTACGAATGAATAACTCACGAAGGATATTTAAAATTATTACAGTAAACTCGCTTGCGCCCGAGACTCCGTCCGCGTGTAATTAAAAAACTAATTTTATTGAGATCCGTTCAGCCGTTCAGGCTAACTCTAATAAACCATCTTAATTTTCGCATTTATAATATTAGTGAGATTATAAGAGTTTTTTTATTACTTAGTAAACAAAAACCTGACTACCTGTATTATTCCATTTACGTAATAATGTTTCCTAAATAAAATTATCTGAATTACATAAGCCACCACCTGCCCTGTTTATCTCTTTGTTGTTAGTATTAAATAACGTATATACGTCAAATAAGGTATCGATGGTACGTTTGTTTATTTGACTAATGTTTGTCACGTTCCAGTGAATCATACTTTATAAACATATTTTGTATCGCTATTGCGTTGCAGACTTCCATCGACGTTTTTTTTCGAATATGTTAATTACTAACCTTGTTTTTTTCTATAGTTTATTTTGATTTATACAGTTTTGTGTTTAAATGTAAGAATTATCTCTTCCTATGTTTTTATATGCTGCACTATTTTTGAACCTAGTGCAAAACAAACTGCTAACGTTTTTGTTTCATTTTGTTAAATAATCCGTTTGTCAGTTGTTATAATTCCAAAAGCGCTAGTACTATATAAAACGTATAATATAATTGACTAATAGTGTTTTCATATGTGAGTAACAATTAGTAAGTAATTTTGTATGACATTGAATACGTTGTAAAATGTTTGCTGTTATCAACCACACCTTGTGAGGTGATGGTTTTAATCGCGGAAATAGGTGTTTCAAATAAATCGCTATTTGTTATACGGTTTAAGATTGTCAAGTTATTTGCGAAAACGAAGAAATATTTACTATTCAGAAATACTTTGATTATCTTGTACTAATAAAACTACAGTTATTGTCGTAATTACCCCGTCCTTTTTGACCGACTTCCCAAAAGAAGGAGGTATTCAATTCGTCGATATGTTTTTTTTATGTGTGTTACGGCATAACTCCGCCGCTAGTGGACCGATTTGGATAATTCTTTTTTTATCCGAAAGGTAATGCTTGCAGGTGGGTCCCATTTTTTTGTTTAATTTTTGGAGTCTAAGACTACGACGTAGTTAAATAGTTTAGCTCAAAATCGCGCGATGAAATTTCGGGTCATTTCTGTTAGTATACTATGCTCTACTCTTTCATTAACATTTAGTTTACACAATACCACACTATTTATATGCTATATTTATATGCTATATAACTCACATAGAGTCGCCGAACCAGGTTTTGCTCCTCTAAAACGATCTATCTTCCATCCTTTCTTTCGTCTCTTCTAGCATCTTTCAAACGATCTTTTAAGTACGATAGTAAAAAGGAATTAAATATATTACTAAGATATATCACATATCTTGTAGATGATGAGAAAAAAATATCTGGTTCTCATTAGAAATATATCTTGTCGACAATATTTATAAACTGCAATTGTTTATCCCTCGTAACATTCCATGTCACAGAATAATAAATAATATGACAGAGTACTATCAATGTACTGTAAATAGGTAAGATCTATTAGCAAACTGCGGGCTTCAACTGCACATATTGTGTGTTTGTTGATGGCAATTAAATTACATTTTGCTACTCGTGGGACTGAAGTCCAAGGTTTATGTGGACAAGTTAAGTAATTAAATATAAACAATCAACAGAAGTTATACCTTTTAGACAAAGGAAGGTAGATTATAAAAGAATGAAAATGCATCACAATCCAATCTAACTTCTAACTAATATTATAAATGCGAAAGTTTAGATGTAGGGATGTTTGTTAGAGTTTGTAGCCTAAACGGCTGAACGGATCTCAATGAAATTTGGATAGATGTAGAGCAGAGTATGGAAGAACACATAGGGTACTTATTATTTTTTTTTTTTAATACCACGCGGACGGAGTCGCGGGCGAAAGCTAGTATACCATAATCTTTTTTGCTGTCTTTAGTCTTGTCATATTCATGCAATATTGTGCTCTGTTTATCTATCAAAAGTAGTGTTATAAGTGTTCTTACTAATAAAGCTTGTATTTTGGACTAAACTTAGGTATCTACTATTAGATATGGTTTTTAATTGTATGGACGTAATTAACTTGAACGCTTAGAGCTATTTATCCCCAGTATGGAGTAGTTTAGTTCAGTTTCTTGTCTATGGCACTCCCTTAGCGGATTAGAATGGCGCACTATCCCACTAAAAAATTACATTGACAGCTGTCAGATAGGGACGTCGACGCTGATGTTCTGTTTTTTCCAATTTTCTTCTTAATACTACGAAAGTCGTGTAATAAAGCAAATTCGGACCACAATTTTGATTATAATTTATACTTTAAAACACACTTCTTTACAACTGTATTCCAATAATTTGAACAAAAAAACTAATAATTTCCTTTATGTTCTACAGTCGATTACACCCACGGTGAGTCCCCGCACGTGCTGGAGACGGGCAAGTACACACAGAGCTCGACTTCACCCAACATTGCACTGTCTCCTAACGCGGAGGTGCTGGCAGTCGCCGTTGACAGCGCTGTCGAGTTCTACGACACGTATACAGGACAACTGTATGACACCGTCGATAACATATACTCAGGTGAGATACTACACAGACCCACCTTATGAAAACAGCTTCATTTATATTATTATGCTTTCGCCCACGACTCTGTCCGCGTGGAACTAAAGAAAACAATAGTGAGTAGCCTATGTGTTCTTCCAGACTATCCTCTACATCTATACCAAATTTCATCGTAATCTGTTTAGTCGTCTAGTCACAAACTCAAAAAAATAAACTAAACTATCTCATTTGTAACAATAGTATGATTTTAAAAGTATGACTTCCTTAGATCGAAATTTGTATGTCGGTAGGGAAGATTGGACAAAATGGACTTTATAGGTATGGGGAGGATAAGGTTGTCTGTGGACGTCACTTTTTAGATAAAATTGAATTCAATTTGTCTGTTATTTTCTATAATATACAGCTTTTGTCTTTATCTAGAACTTTTTGCTCAAGATCTGTGCATCCTGTTGCGATTTGAATTGCGTATTCCATTAACCTTTTATAAAAGTAGGTTTATGTTTTGAATGTATCGTAAAATCTTTACGTTTCACGGTATATGATACGATTTTTAAAATACTATAAAATTATATTGTATTTGTAACAAATGGAGACGCACGTCGTTAAATTGTAATAACATTGTTAAAGCGTAGCTTATTGTTTAACGAGAGGCTACACCGATGTTAAAGTTTTTGCTTATCGACACAAAAACAGCGTAATTTCATGCAAAAATGTATAATAATAGATGTACATTAGTCTAGCGCGTTCGTTAACAAATTCATATAGTTTTTTTTTTTATAAAAATCTGCTTTAGCGAAGTTTTGAAAAGCAAAACATAACGTGTATGTTTAGGAGGTATTGACCAAAATATTGTATATGTTAGAAACATTTTAAGAAATGAGAATTACCTAAATAGTTAGGTATATATACAAACAATAAAACGTCCTCCAACTTATGTGTTTAAATATTCGAAATGGCCTCGAATATGGCACTAAGATATTCCAGTATTCGATCGTTCAGTCGCAAGTTACTGAATTATTGAACGCGCTCGTCCAAGGGAACTATCGATCGTTGTTACTTTAAACTAGCTTTTGACCACGATCTCGCGAAATAAAAAAAAATATTAAGAAGCCTTTTTCCAGACTATATCCTACTGCCGAATTTACAACAAACTTTCAATACAACTTTCACCATTATAGTATTTAATATGGTTTGCTAAGCCAAATAAAATTCCCCTCGAAGATGGGTCAAAAATTAATCGGTTATCAACCAAAATATAGACCTAAGTGTTAGCCGAATGATAATTAGTTTATGATCTTGCAACGTTTGTTCCAGGCACTATTAACTATATGTGTTTCGATGCGAGTGGGAAATATTTATTCGTGTGCGGGGACCGTGCGGTGCGGGTGCTTCACAACGTGTGTGGTTACTTCACCACTATAGCGAGCTGCTCCCGGCTTCTCTCGCACAAGCAGACCTCCGCCACCACTGAAAGGCTGAACAACACCATTAAGTCCTGTCAAGAGACGCTAGCGTCTTTTGGTAAGTAGATTAAAGTCCATATGTAAAAATCAACAGTTTATAATCTCACTAGCGTAGGTACAATTAGAGAAACTGAACGTGTACCATCTTTAAAGCTAAATTCGTTTGAACGTATTGACAAGACGAAACGAAAAATTACAAATAGAATGTAGCGTTTAATATGTCTATACGAAAAAAGTTACCGAATTAGTTTTTTTTTTTTGTAAGAATCGGAGTTTTTTAAGTAGAACATCTAGAATTTTCTCGACTGTACATACAGCTGTAACGAAGTAAGCAAAAGCGATACAATTTCATGATTTTATTCATGTTTTAATTGTCATTTCGTTTTAGTTCACAATATGCCGTTTTATAATATGACTAGGGAGATTATAAACTGTCGATGGTCACTGTATGACAGTGACATGTCGAATGCATTTATTTTTTGCCCAACTGACTTAGAAGGGTAATTTTTAAACAACTCTTTAATGTCCAATGAACCAGTGGTAAATGTCTATTATATTTGTAATATTTCCCATATAAATGTATGTATTTTCTATGATCTATTCGAATTTCGAAATTATTTATAAAAATTGTTCTTCCTATAGAAAAATAAGAAAATCTCGTAACTTACGACTGTAATCTAAGTTAACTGTAAATGTTTAGATTAACTCTAAGTGACTTGATTGCTCAATGTTCTCATTATTTTTGATTTATTTAGAAATTAATTTCTTCTAATCATAAGTAATTTTTTGGTATTACAATGCAAAAATAATTGAAAACAATGCATTTTTTTTTAACTTGTATAGTATGACATTTTTTATTGTGAAGTGTCTGACAGTAATATTTTTCTGTATTATTTTTGAAAAATTTATGATGTGAAATTTTCAAACAAAGAATCGCTTTCTATGTATTTTAGGCCTATGTTTCAATTTAAAATGGTACAGTTTTTAGTGTATCTATAAATGTATGTTAGAATTTCTCTACTTCGAAACTAGATTAAGTTTTAGCTCTGTATAAATTATATACAATCTGTTTCTATTAAGAATGTGCATACTGTGACGTCATACTTAACAAAACTAAAATAATCAGAAAAATATTCATCTATAAAAAAAAATGGGTAAATTTTTTTTTTTACTTTATTTTTCGAGCGTTTTTTGGTAAATCTATGTCACCGAGATGCACATTCTTATTTAAAACTTATACTACATTCCTTTTTATTAACGGTTCCTAATTATTACTTCAATCCGTTCGTATGAGAAAAATATTTTTTTGTTATCTATCCACTAATAATTAAGTCAATCGTTTTGAAAGACTGTGGACATTTGTGTAAAATGATTTTCTAATGTCCTTGTATGTATTCGTATGAATAAAATTTATATGTTTTAAAGGAAAATTTGTTTTTTTTTTCATTCATTTTTGAAGAAGGGAATCTAAGGACAAGAGTTTTATAAGCAGTTAGAATGTTTACGTTAACTAACATCCGTTAACTTAAACCGCTTTGTGACTTTAACAATCTTACCTCGGCATTTGTTAATCAGATTAAGCTATTGATGAGAATATCAATTGGCTGTAACCGTGCGTTTCCACTGAACACGGATTTAGGTGCAAAAAGTTTTTTTTAAACTTGAGCAGAAGTTTCAAAAACCGCCATGTTGCGGAAATATGATACTAATTCCTTTTTCGCACACTAATAAAAAAAGTAATATAATAGAGGGTTTTTGACGATCCTTCAAGCCAGGATTTTTATATCAATATAAAGTTCTTTTAATAAAGAAATAAAAATAATCTTTTTCCTTTTTAAATTTATTGTTTTGCATAAGTGACATTATTGACAATACACTGAGATACTCTTGTGTTAACAATAATTTAAGTACAGTTTCACAGCTTTAGATAAATATATATTAGCTTTATTATGACAGATATAACATTCTCACAAACAAAGTCAATTCCGATATTGCCGAGTGCAAAAATATTCCTTATGTCAAAATAGATTTAGTTTTAAATCGAAGAACTAGGTGTCGCTAGTGTTCAGATCTAGAAATCTTAAATTTATATTCGAGTTCTTTTAAGCACTAATATTTGTACCGATTGCAGTTGTAACGATGTTCTATAAATAAAATTAAATTTTTTGCTTTATAATTAACAAATGCACTAATTCTACAGGCAGTGGTATTTTGTGACAATAACAAATGACTTGTCAAAATTACGGAATAAAACTCTATAGGGATAAAAAATACAGAATTACAACTAACAATTACTATTCGGATACGATAACATGAGACCTGAGTATAAACGTCATCGAGATGTTCTCACGTTATTGTGTTCGGATAGTACATGAAAAGCAAAGTAAACGAGTACAATGCTGTAACAGGTTGAATTAAAATTGTAAAATCACTGAGAAATATTGTAGTTAACTGAAATCTACGAATCTCTACAACTTAGTTATAAAAAATCAAATATATACACTAAAAATCGTAACGCAAAAAATTTGATCTCTACTCTTAGATATATCTATACAAAAAATATTGCGTTACATAATGCAGTGTGTTCACTAACACAATCAAATCTGTCTGAAGTTGGAAACAAGTTTAAAAAATGACAAAAGACAATTACAAATTTTATCGCATTTGACTTTTGTGTAACTAACTTCAGGTAAGACGAATATTATGATGGAAATACAGAATAAAAGTATTATGCGGATCAAAAAACGCTATCTAGCAATTTTTTACGTTGAGTTTTACACATTATAACAAAATATGTACTTTGATATCAACAGATCTTTACAGTGAAGATTCACATGTGAATATGTTTTAATTGCATCAGATCAATAAACTATTTTTAATACTTGTAACGGTGCATATTCGAAGAGGATAATTTTAAAATCTGTGACTGTTAATTGTAAGTTGCGGGCCACTTATTTAGTACTTTATCAGAGCACCATATCAAATTTCTTCTAACATTTGAGCTTTCTGCGAGGTTTAACAAAAATATAGATTAAAAAAATGATATATTTAACTGTACCAAATTAGTCGCCTTTTAATTATCTTATTTTCCAATAGATGACGCTATTTTGGTACTAAAACAAACCGATGGAAATCGAAACTATTTCGTAATTCGAAATTCTTTTGAAGTCGGTAAATAACACCGTGGCTATTCTCTTAGTGGAAATTGGGTTTTACTCGATGTCTACCTTTAAACAATATTATAACCATTCCTGTGTATTGTCATTATTTTTATTCTATAGATTCTAATCTATTTCAAATCGTTTGGAATCGAAATTCCCTTTTCTAAGTTCTATGTGTCTCATTTTATAACCGCAACATTTTATATTTAGAATTGACAAACTATTCAATGTTCTAAAATGTTAGTATTGAAAATTCAATTCAGCTAACGTCCATTTTCTAGCTAAATGGAAGCTTTTTATATGATATGGTGTTTGTTTTGAGCAAATGATGTAAATTTTGGCGCGAAATTTAACAATAATGAGACAATCAAGACAAATTATGATATTTTTTTTATTTTTGCATCTATATTTTTTGTATTGTAAGCTTTATTATTACTGTTTTATTATTTTTAAATTTAGTATGTTTTTTTTATTATTTTATAAATTGCTTGGAATCAAGTATGATTTTTTTTAAATCTTTGAACAATTTTAATTTTGTGACACGAGAACATTCTAAATTACTGGTAATACCACTGATTTAACTTTATAATATAGTAAAGTGAGAGATTTTTATTGTAAAACAAGTGCAACTGTGCATTGCATGGCTAGTAACATTTTTAGGTTATTTTTTTATTAAGGGAGCAAAAAGTTGAAACAGCTTATTTTATTATTGGTATAATAAGGACATATCTTTCAAATGTGTGAATATTGTCATTGTCGTGTTCATGAACTATTATTTAAAAGTAAAACACGAACAAATATTTTATAATGTATGCCAGTTTCTACCCTGTGGTATAAAAACCATTGAATTTACTTCTGTACTAAAATTAATACTTTTAATTTGTTTAAATTGTGAAAATGATCTAGAAAATTCGATTCACAAAAAAATACACAAGTACGTAGTTTAACATTACGTTTAAAAATTAAGATATAAATGCAATCAGCATAGACTAGCTAAATAAAAATAAGTGATATTTTGTTTAATTAAATATGAGATTTATTTTAAGTAGAAATACTAAAAAAAAGTAATAAGTATAGTTTATCTAAATAAGATAGATTAGTTTGATAAATGACGCATATGAAGTATCGAATTCAATTTGTATGAAGGCAATTGCCATACTTAATGGACAGGTGTCGTAGTGACGAAACAAACACACAGCGAACAATTTTGAACTATCGATATTCAGTTTAAATAATTATTAAACTCAACTAAAATTATTACTTTCTTATTCACTAATTTAGAGGACAATTCTAGTATTTTTTAGTGTAGAGAATTTAGTGATGACAGCTACAACTATAAATCTATCGAGTCCAACTTCTATGAGAATAAAAATCGATAATCGATAAGATTCATGACAGGTTTTATACAACCCATCCCTACTAAATTTGAAATGAATTGTCAAACTAATCTAAATTATTTAGACACACTATAGTACAAACTACAAGGTTTTAAAAATAAATCTCACGCTTAAAATAAACAAACACACTTTAGTCGAATAAAAACAAATTTCGTTGTAAAAACGTTGTCAAAACAATTCGAAATAAAATACACTAAAAACACTAAAAATCAGTCACGAATATTGTCAAATAGTAACAGAGACTTGTGGAAACATAAACGACTTACCAAAAATGGGGTCGTCAATGTTAAGCAGAAAATTGGTTTATTTGAACCGTATTCACTGTTATATGACTTAAAAATTAAAGTAATAAGCAAGTTAAAGTAAATAAATACTGTAAGTACTACGAATATCGTAAATGAAATACTGCCGGCGTCGCCGGTGCTTTGGTACGGCGGGGGGCGGCACCGCTACGATAAGACTAGCATGAAATTCGTTTACACCTTCGCATTAATAATTTCTTCCTCTTTTTCCTGCTGTTTGAACATCTGGAAACAACAAAATATACTTTCTAACATATACTTTAATAATTTTATAAATGTTTTGGTGGCGTTGTTGTTGGTGGTGGTGGTGGTGGTGTTGTCGGTGGTGGTGTTGTTGTTGGTGGTGATGGTAGTATTGTTGTTATTGTTGGTGGTGTTGTTGTTGTTGTTGGTGGTGTTGTTGTTGTTGGTGTTGTTGTTGGTGGTGATGGTGTTGTTGTTGTTGGTGGTGGCGGTGTTGTTGTTGGTGATGCTGTCGGTGGCGGTGACGGTGGTGTTGGTGTCGGTGGCGACACGTACTTCACCAGTAGACGTGCAGCCTGAGGCAGTCCCCTGCAAGGTCTGCGAGCAGCGCGCGGCGGCGCGGCAGCAGCGCGAGGCCGGCGACGCGGCGCGGGCGGCGCTCCGCCAGCTCGCAGGCCGCCAGCACGCGGCCGCCCGCCTCCAGCGCCACCAGCGCCGGGCGGCCGCGCACCGCGCGCGTGCACACTATCACACGCTCCTCCCCCTCGCCGCCCTCGCCCTCGCCCGCGCCCTCCACCGCCACCGCCACGCCCCCGTACCCGCCCCGGCCTGCAACACACATATTCACAACTACATTAACAAAGCATGCGCTGTTCACACTTGGCCAGTATAATTTGTTTAGATCCACTGGCGCTAGTTAGTGTTTACATTAAGCCATTTAAATATCAGTTCATTTGTTATAAACTACTGTTAAACTATACTGGCCTGGTGATAACCGCGCATAAGTGCACAAATTAAAATCAAAGAGCGTTGATGTCCTTCAGACATTCTGCACTTGACTTGTGTTCTCTTGTGCTCCGTGGTCCTGGGTTCGAATCTCGGCAAACACCAATGCTATTTTCATAGCTTGAATTTTATGTGTACATTTACACATTCAACTGAATAAAGCAAACAAAATAAACACATTTATGCCACAATGTAGCAGTAACATGTTGAAATGGCTCCAATATGCGTGGTGCTTGTTACCTTTGGGCACAGGTGCGATGGTGTTCCGCAGCGTGCCGTGCAGGTCGTAGATGCGCACAGCCACGTCCGCCACCACCAGCATGTCGCCCGACAGCGCCACGCCGCCCACCAGCCCCAGCTCCCCCCCACCGATCTAAAACATACAAATCATACTAATATTATAAATGCGAAAGTTTAGATGGATGAATGTAAGAGTTTGTAGCCTTAATGGTTGAAAGGATTTCTATGAAATTTGGTATAGATGTAGAGGATAGTCTGGAAGAACATACAGGCTACTCACTTTTGTTTTTTTTTGTAATTCCACGCTGACGGAGTCGCGGGCGAAAGCTAGTAACATTGTAAGACATGAGCTGTTCCTGTGCGGCTTCATCCGCACGAAATTATAATAAACATCATTACATTGTTTACATTTGTGAGATTTTAAATTCAAATATTAATATTCAAATGCACAAATAACAAGTAATGTAAAATGTCCCTTGGTAAGTGTGCTATAGTTACCTCAGTTTCAATGTTCCCGTGCGCGTCGAATATGAATACTGCGCGTGCGCCATTGTCCGCTACGGCGAGGCGGCGTGACGTCACGTCCGCCGCCACCGCCACCGGCCCCCCCAGCCGCTCCGACCGCACCGTGCGCACCGTAGACCCGTCCACACTCACCTGGTACACCACCACACCATTACACCATTACATCATTACATTGTTACACCATTACACCATTACACTATTACACCATTACACCATTACACTGTCACACTGTTACTCCATCACACTGCAACACCCTTAACTTTTACATTTATATTAGTAAGATTTAGTTTGACAGGCCCAGGATGGTTCCGGTGATTTCCACGGAGATTCAGGAACCCTCTTCTAGAGGCTGGCCACCGAGGGGGTTTTAGTGGATACAAACCTCACATAACCCTCTCTTCTCCCCAGATGGAAGGGTATCTTTTAGAAGTTTCCCACCCCCATACCAAAAAAAGGCCATTCAGGGTAAAACATTCTTTTCATATACTAAAGATTTGAATTTTGTATACTTTAGACATTGTTTAATGCAATACATATATTTAATATAGAGCACCTCAGTTAATGTCCTCGTCCGCCAGTTGACAGCGACCACGCCCTCGGCCGTCACCGCGATACCCGTGCAACTGCGCCCCGATAGACCTTAACATAATAGAAATATTAAATATCACCCGCAATTATATACGTATTTTAATAAATTTGGTGTATAATGCATTAGTAGTGTTCACTACCTTCGTTAACGATGTGAGTTTTGAAGGCAAAAGTTTCATCGTCCAACACCTTCACTCTGGAGTTGCCGGCGTCCAGCACGTATATTTCACGACGCTTTGGACACCTGCAATATGCAGATAAAACTAATACTATGCGAACACTAAGTAGACGTGATATAATCCTTTAAAATTAAAAATAACGGTAGTAAAGTACATTATCACATAGGTGTACGTTTGTTTGCGTTTGTAAATGTTTTGTCTTTGTAAGTGTGCGTGTGTAAATATAGCGTGCATGTGAGGGAGCGGTTATAAATGTAGCGTATATGCAGGTGTGCGGGTGTAAATGAAGCGTACGTGTAGGTTTGCGTGTGTAAATGTAGGGTGCGTGTAGGTGTGCGTGTGGAAATGCATCGAGTGTGTAGGTGTGCGTGTGGAAGTGCATCGTGCGTGTAGGTGTGCGGGTGTAAATGAAGCGTACGTGTAGGTTTGCGTGTGTAAATGTAGGGTGCGTGTAGGTGTGCGTGTGGAAATGCATCGTGCGTGTAGGTGTGCGTGTGGAAGTACATCGTGCGTGTAGGTGTGCGTGTGGAAATGCAGTGTGCGTGTAGGTGTGCGTGTGTAAATGTTGGGTGCGTGTAAGTGTGTATGTGTAAAAGTAGCGTCCGTTTAACTTGTAGATACCTGGCGACAGCTACGGGCTGGCTGAGCTGGTCCTTGCCGGTGCCGCGCGAGCCCCACACGAGCAGCGGCGCGGCGGCGGGCAGCACGCTGGCGCGCAGCGGCGAGTCGCGCACCGCGCGCGAGAACACCAGCACGCGCACGCTGATCGCACCCGCGCTCCATGGACGCATCGTGATCCTGCCAACAGACGTACACAATTATTCATCTATACTAATCTATAAAATTGGAGTGTCTGAATGTACTATCAAAAGAAAAATTATAATGATGAAAACAGCACTTAAAATATGTCTTCTTTCTGCCCCACAATCCGCGTTCGTTCCGGGTAATCTCAGAAACGGCTGAGCCGATTTTGACGGGACTTTCACGGGAAGCTAGGTGACATTGACGGTATAGTTTTTTTATAAATTTCGCGCCATCAATATGGCGACCAGACCGCTACATCTGGAACGAGTGGATCGATATTGACGGGACTATGAACAAAAAGTAGATGGTGCAAGGTACATGTAGGTGATGTTATAAACGACAATTTAGTATATTACCGCGCTCAAGAAGTTTGAGGACGACAGCTCGCTATAAATAATTATAGTATTTTGTATATAACCTGTAGAGTCCAGTGTCGAGGTCTGTGACGGCGCAGGGCAGCGGCGCGTCGTCGAGCGTGGCGGCGGCGCTGACGGGGTCCCCGCCCGTGCTGCGCGGCTCACCGTGGTAGTCCACCGTGCGCAGCACCACGCACACCTCCAGCCCGCACACGCACACCGACTCTGCACATTGCACATTTTACAAAACAACTCTTCAAAGGACAGAGGGACTCGGTGGCCACCATAATAAGGTGTGACTAGGCCATAGTCAACCAACCAAGTGCGAGTTGGTTGACATGGCACATATCTTTGAATTTCTTTCCCGATATGTGCAGGTTTTATCACGATGTTTTTAAAATCACATTGGTACATGGTGGAACCTAGGACCTTTGGATTACAAGTGAAGTGCTCAAACCCCTGAGGCATCGACGTTCTTACTAACTTACTAAAACTTATAACTTACCTAATTGCAATGTACACAATCCTGGGAAGGTGGTACTGGTCCGCACCCGGCCTAACTCGGCTAGGGCTTCGACGAATCGTTGCTGGGCATCATTGTGCGCGAAGTCGACCGCCAGGAACGCGTTCTCCCTGGGCTCGGCGAGTGCGGCCGCGTCGCCCAGCCGCGCGCCCAGCGCCGCCGCGCGACTACTCACCTCGCGGACCTCCACTTGCTGCTGCAGACCTGAACATTCTGCTTCCACCTGTCAAATAGTACTCGCTGCATCATACGTCATCGCTGACTGTGTTTTCACTGCTGTTAAACATGTTTTAATATGCAATTAATTTGGAAAGCACCAGTTCGCTTTACAGAAGCGTTGTTTTCTTCGAATTCTCTTTTGGCGAGAGAAGTTGACACTATGACAGGACTTTATTTATATATCTAAAGAGAAACAGGCGTCTCCTCCTCCGTCGATTAAGGGTAAGCAACGATCACTTTGATTTGATTGATCACAACGTTTGCCACCTTATGCTATAAAAAAAAAAAACAAAAAATATGCAGGTAAGATATGTTGATATAAAACTAGCAAGTAAGATTGTATGTCTCAAAATAAAATTTATAATTCATTCACAGAAGCCGTATAACTTTAAGAGCCGTATAGTAAGCAGTAGTTACATTGAAAGGCTTAAAACACCTTCAGAAATAAGTGTTAATAAAAGCTACCCGTCTGATTACTAACTTGATTATTAGTTACACAACAAAGCATACTTTATTCTATTGTGTAGTTGTTTTTCTTGCCATTGAATTTTTTTTCCTGAAACGTTTTATATAACTACCTACCGTAATAAAGGAAAGAATTATTAATATAAATTTGTGAGCCTGATGAAGCCCTAAACATACACATATTCTATTTGTCTTACTATGAACTACATATAAATCTAACCTTGCTCTCAGACATATGTAGGCATTCTATGACATTAGCCTTCTTAAGCTAGTAACATACAAGGTAAGACTGACTGCAACTAATAGTTCTTACTTCTAAGTAGGTCTGTGTGAGAATCAACATTTTATTTGGAATTTTAACAGAAGGTGATACATGACAAAACACCAATAAAATATAAATAAAACTTACTTTAGTTTTTTCAGCATCAATCAACTTTAACTGTTCCTCAAGCAGCTTTCGTTTATGTGTTGCCGCTGCAGCCGCGGCTGACTTAAGTTCACTGTGCCGCTTGTCTAAAGCAGCTTTCAGTTCCGCGAAATGTCTGTCAATAGCCTCCTCAGCGGCTGTAGCTGCAGCCTCTAATCTTCTTAACTCACTGGCAACCGCATCCCTAGCGGAGCCCAGCTTACTAAGACACTCATTGGCTCTATACAACAATATCTCAGACATTCTCTTTAAGGCAATCGAAAATGGCACTACGGTATGATCACAGGGCGTGTCGCTGTGAGGTCCGTCGGCGCAGTGCCGACAGAACACACAATCACAAGTCTCACAGAACAATAACTCTCTTCCCGGATGAGAACTACACTGGGGTATCACTTCTCTTCTTTGTCTTGCCATCAAATCCAATAACTGATTGACGAGGAACGAAGGCGGTAATGCTGGAACGCCTCCACGGGGTATTGTGATCAATTCGCGGCAGATGGGACATCGGAAACTACCCGCGTCTCTGGTTTGCGATGCAGCTATTCGAGTAAGGCAATGTAGGCAGACTGTGTGTGAACATGGCAAAAGCTTTGGAGTATGCTCCCCTCCATCATAAGTGCCTGAAAAGAATAAATGTATAAATGTAAAGTTAGAATACTATAAAATTCTAGATTAACACTATCTCCAATAGGAAAGTTGTCCAAAACTATACTTTTCTTTGATATTATTAAATCTGAAAGTTTCAGGAATTGTACTTTGTATTTCCTGCCATACATTTACTTATTATGCCTCTGTGCTGTCAAATGTGCAACAACCAATGTGTAGATAATATAAAAATAAAATGAGGTGTACTAACATAGACATGTGCCGCAGGTGAGGAAGCTCTCGTTAAAGTCTTCATAGTTGATGGAGACGGTCTCGACGAGCGTCGAACTCATGCTCGCCATCCCGACGCCCAGTCGTGAGCTGGCAAATGTTTTAACACATGTTTATGTAAACTGTCAAAACATTAACACATGATTGCAACTGCCAATAGTTAGTTCACTTTTATATACAAATTGTAATAACATCAAATATAATATAGCAAAACATTTTATCATCCCATTTCCTGTCAATAATTGATACTAATTAAATTCAATGTAGAGTTTTTTAAACAAAACTTCTTTTTCTAACCTGCGACACAATTCTCCAGCAAATATTAAAATTGACAGAAAGCTAAAATAAAATGTTTTTAGTAATGTTTTGACAATACCACACAGTGATTTTAAAAGCCCTGCAATACTGTGGTACTCTATATTAATGTTACTATAATTTATTACTTAACAGGAAAAAGGAAACCAATAATTGATTAACATACATGTTAATTATGTTAAACAGTGGATAAGGGTTCATAATTGTACAAATTACCTCTGTTTTTATTGCTAAAACATATTTGCAAAAACATATTATGTCTTAATATGCAGAAGGATGAATGAGAGTAAGAAGAGTTTAGTGGAAAAAAACAGTAAATATATTGTACTATCTTATTTTACTAGTGTGTAATAAAGCATTATTTTTCCCATATAAGTAAATAAATAATAGAATGCTAACAAAACATACCAATTTGTTAAAACAATGTCATATCTAATTAAGTTGTTGCGTAAATTACAATTTGCTCTAACCTGTTTACAGTCTGCTAATAAGAGATAATTTGTACAGAGCACTGTGAGTTGTGAATCACCAATCGGTGCAGATTGTTCATTTATTTTATTGCCTTCAATTGAATGAAGTTCAAAATGTGCTTGTCATACTCACATTTTTATAAATAACAATTCTGTCGCATAGACATTTTTGTATAGAAATGTCATGTATTTAGAGGAAATTATTATAATTAAAGTTTACATTTAAATATTTTACTACACAAAATTTAACTACTATTATATGCAATAAAAACACTTAAATGAGAGAATTATATTGATTTACTAATTTAGGATGAATTATTCATTTGTTTTAAACAATTATTTTCTTTATATATGTACATTATTTTTTTTAAATCAGGTTTTACCTTTGCTACTATTACAAGCAAACTAAGATAAGTGAAGCACATGTGTGTACACAAGCTATCTCCCTGTTACAGGTGATCCCCAAACTTTGTCAAACAAACAACCAAGACAAAGTTCATTGACCTAAACAGTTATCTTGTCTATTTGTATTTAGAAACAGAGACTGCATGTAACAGGTGTATTACTTCTTGTAAATATTACGCGACTAAAAATTAAGCTTGCGTTATTTATTATACGAAAATAAAGTTGATTTTTATATTATTTTTGAGTACAGTAGATGTTAAAATTTTTAAATGCTATATTAAGCAAATAATTAATTAATAATGAAAAGCATTTGAAATACTAATGGTATAGCATGAAATAAGTATAGAAATATTCATAATACTCACAGAAACGAGCAACAATACATGGACGTGAATTCCGATACTGGCGGCTGCTACACACATACAATTTATCTCATTTTCTAAGATTAGTTTATGACCGAATAGAAGCTTTATTCTAATCGGTAAATATTATTGCAGACTTGAGCAGAATCGAAAGATCAAACACATCTTTTGTAATAATTCACGCCTGCCCTTCTACTAAAACGAAACAAATACATATGCAAGGCGAGTTACTTCTCGATTTGGTTCACTTCAATGCAGTATGCAATTCTGAAGCCAATTTAAGTTTAAAATTTGAAGCGAATTCTCTTTCGTAATCGATCGATATTATAGGAAAACTATGCTCATGACAAAGAAGTATCAACTATTATTGTAATTAACCACTATTTTAAGACATAATAACTAGCGAATCTAACTTTCATCCCACTAAGTACCACGATACTAATGTTTCATTTTTAGTTATTCTATATTTGGAAGGTTTTGTTTCCAAATATTTATCAAAACTATTTTTATGTCAACCATTAACCTTACAAAACACAACGTCAACTGTCAAAAGTGAACTGACATTTTAAAATTAAAAAGTTACATTTTCTGTATTAGATACAAGGCCTTTTAGACACATGGACCGAGCTTATTATTTTAATCTTTATTTTTTTTATTTTTTGGAACAAATTAGTTTACTTATTCTTTTAGTACGTAGGTCCTGGATTTCGGATTTGTAACATTTAATTTTCAGTTAATAGAATTAATTGTTTTTAAAGTATATTAATTACTACCATTCTGTCTCATTTTTATTAAATAATGTATTGCAGCTGGTGTTTTAATCATCACACCAAGATAAAAGTTGTATAGATAGATTCGAAGTTGAAGGTCATATAAATTATTCTATTTGTGATGGTTTGCGCGTAGTAGGCGCTCGTGTTTTGACTAGTAATTTGCTATTATTGTTGGACATTTTCACAAGCGTTTTAATAAATCGAAATGTTAAATACATATAACCTGCGTTATTTTACTGCCGTTACTAATAATTGTACCTTTAGGTGTACTTTTATTTAAAACTTTACATTTTAAACGGTGATTCACTTTTGGCAATATTTTAGAATTCACCTTGTGTTCCAGATATTTTAAGAGGACAAAGCATTTAAGCACATCCAATGGACCTAAGCCTTTTGATTCTATACCTGGGTTGTCATCATTACCGTTTTTGGGACCGATACATCATTTTATGCCAATTATAGGTAGGTACTTTATATTTCCTTAAATTAACGAAATAAAAGCTGGCAACACATATGACCATCCCCTTTAAACTAGGTTTAAGTATATTATAATCTCATAATTTTCATAATTGTGGAAGCTGTGAAGACGCTGGATGTGGAAACCGGAAAACCAGATACTGCTATGTCTATGATATCTATAACAGAAAATCTCAACATTTCATGCTCTTTTAATCTAGTATTAAAAAGTTTTAAAGACCATCCGTACCTTCAAAATATGTTGATCGATATTGATGTTAATCTTCATACAAAAGAGACCTATATTCAGTCATAATTTACTATTTTACTTACCTTACTTTAGGCTCTATTGGCCCGAAAGCAAATTTCGTCGACTTAGCTCATCATTTACACACAAAGTATGGAAACATAGTAAAACTGGATGGTATATTTGCCAGAGCGAATATGGTACTCTTATTCCAACCAGAAGATTTCGATCAGGTAACAAATCAATACAATTATATCATACAAAAACCGACTGTGAAAGGATAATAAAAAAACAGCCTATGTTACTCACTGATAACGTAGCTTTTTAAAGGGGAAATAAGTTTTGAACCAGCCTAGAAGTTTTTGAGTTATATCTTTCCTCTTTATAATAATAGTTTAGATGAGTGTACTACAATCTGTATTCAATTTGCTTTTTAAATAGGTATATAGAGCTGAGGAAACAAGTCCGTTGCGGCCAAGTTTTGATACTATAACATACTATCAAGAAGAGTTACGAAAAGACGTATACAATGGTATTTTCGGATTAACTGCTGCGTAAGTACGCGGCTTGAAAATAGCTATTTCCTCAGTGACTACTGCAACTTTTTAACATTTTTTTTTTGGTAGACAAGGCGAAAAATGGAGAGATTTTCGTACAAAAGTAAATCCAGTTTTTCTGAAACCTAAATTAGTGAAACTGTATGCACCAGCTTTAGATGGAATTTCTAAAGAAATGATTGAAAGGTAAGTAAGTCATGACGGATAATTTTAAAATAACGACTTTTTGCTTTTTGAATTTAAACCGTCAAATATTTCTACAGGTTGATGAAATTAAAGGATAAAGAGGAGTATCTACAATGGAATTTCGACAAAGAAGTAACAAAATGGTCGCTAGAATCAGTTGCATACATCGGTTTGGGGAAGAAACTGGGATGTCTTCGTGACGACGTTGATAATGAAAAAGCTGAAGTACTAATAAAATGTGCACGAGATATAATGGACTTTGCATATAAACTAGAATTTTCTCCGAGTGTTTGGCGCTATTTCGAAACACCAACCTTGAAGAAAATGATTAAAACTTTAGATTTGCAATGGGAGTATGTATAAAAAACCTCCATATATTTATTGGATTTATTTAAACTTTTTTATATATTTTGGCGGAGAATGTGGGACTTTATTAGTATTTAATTGATATTTTTTTAAAGAACTAGTGCCAGTTACATAAAGGAGGCAAAGCAAAAAATTGATGATCGTGGCTACGATATTCCAGATGAAGACAAAAGTATCATAGAAAAGTTGCTGGCGATTGACGAGAAAGTAGCCATTTTGATGGCCAACGAAATGCTCTTAGCTGGGATAGATACAGTGGGTATTTTGAGATTATTCACATTTATTTTACACTTAACTTTCACCCGCGAGGAATTAATAAAACAAAACTAAGTAGCCTATGTCTTCTTCCAGACTATCCTCTACATATATATGCTATATTTCATCCAGATCCAGTCAGCAGTTTAGGTTAAAAACTCCAACATTCATTCATCGATCCATCCAAACTTTCGCATTTATAGTATTAGTACAAAGTAAGATTGTAAGAAGTCCTATGTTATTGACTGCATGTATTTTAATTCCTACTTCATTTATATTTTAGGTTAGTTTTACGACCGTTGGTCTACTATACAATTTGGCGTCAAATCCTAAAGTACAGGAAAAATTACGCAAAGAAATACTTTCTGACAAACCCAATCAGTACCTAAGAGCGTGCATAAAAGAATCAATGAGATTATATCCAATATTACCTGCGAACTTAAGAAGAACTACCAAGGAACATATTGTTGGTGGATATGTTATACCCAAAGGTGTAAGTTGATCATTATTATGTATAATAGTATTAAAACACCATTACTACTGAAATCTACATAATCTACTACATAGGAAAAATGAATTTTACCTGACTGATCAAGAAAGTGGATGACAGTGTAACATATAAGCCATTTTTTATTCAAGATTTAAAAAAAATAATTCATGTCTTATAAATTTCAGATTGATGTAATTGCACCTAATGAATTTTTATCTAAAATGGAAAAATATTATCCGAAACCATTAGAGTTTATACCAGAAAGATGGTTGATGGATAAAACGGACCCATTGTACTATGGTAATGCTCATCCGATGATAACTCAACCGTTCGGTTTTGGAGTTAGAAGTTGTATAGGCAGAAGAATCGCAGAAATGGAAATTGAAACATTCATTAAAAGTTTATTACAAGAAGTAAGAGTGAGCTGGGACGGGCCACCAATGAAGATTGTATTAAAAGTAATGAATCAACTACAAAAACCTTATTATTTCAAATTTGAACATATTTAATAAAAAATATTTTTTCTAAAAATTTAATATTAACTAAGCTATATTATTTATATTAAATGTACTTTTATACATCTGTTATATACTTTACATAGGTTTTCTGTATTTTCCCTGTATCCATACTCTATACATTGTCAACATTTTACCTCTATTTACTTGTAGTCTTCTATCAATTAAGTTTTGTTCTTCAACAAAACCTGAAGACTTGAACAAACTCCTTATTTCTTCTTGAGTAAAGAAGTACACTTTCGTATTGTCTCCACGAGCATAAAAATTATCAGAAATACAACGGCCTTTTTTAAATCTAAGTTGTGCTAAGTCATATTTTCCGTAATCCCGGAATACAACTAAACCACCAGGTTTTAAATATTTGTATATATTTCCAATAAGTCCTGGCATTCTGAAATAAAATAATGATTTCTATTATAGCTTAATTATTTAACACTTATAGTTTATAGATTTTTTAGGTTTAGAATTTTTTTTTTTTGCCTATTTGATTATTATTTGTTTTAAACATATCTTCTTAAATAAAAGGCACAAAAAACTATTGTGGCACTAAATACTATGCATAGACAAAACTAGATGTATTTTTCAATTGAACAACACTGTATTGTTTCAGAATTTATGGCCAATTTTACTTATTACTAATATGGGAGATATTTAACAAACATTTATTGGTTAAATATCTCCCAATGGCTCAACAGATTTAAATTTGGGATAGATGTAAAGCAAAGTCTAGAAGAATACATAGTCTACTTACATTGTTTTTTTTTAATTCCTCTCATACAGTGTCGCGAGCGAAGTTAGTATATATAGAACTATGTAATAATACTCACTTGACAGGATCAATTGCAGATAACACAAATATTAATACTATTATATCTATAGAATTTTCCTCGAATGGCACCTCCCAGTTGGGAACAGTTGCATCCAATACAAATACATTACACCTCTTTGTATCATAAAGTTCATTTTGTTGCATAATTTCTATAGCTTTTGATGAGAAATCACATCCATATACAAATAAATTAGGGTCTAAGCTGTATTGTAGGATGGGAAAGATAGTGTTACCAACTCCACATCCAATTTCAAATATGAAACGCTTGCTTTTGTTTGATGTGTCCGGCTTAACTGCACATGTGTTATCCGGGTAAACTCTTTCAGGAGCTGATGTATTGTCTGGTGCTAATTCTGGGAATTCTGTGAAAAGCCAGTGTCGATCTTTGAAAAATCTGAAATGTAGAAAAACTTAGTTAATATTACCGTTGAATTTTAAAGCATCCGTTGCCTACTATTTTACACTTATATTTGTAATTATATTAATACCATAAATGTGAATGTTTAGATTTTTTTTATATGACATAAGGTGGAAAATGAGCAAGCGGCCACCAGAATCCATAGAAGTAGAAAGCAACAGCTGCTCATAAACATCCGCAATTGCAGATGCGTTGCCTACCCTTAATTGACGAAGGAGACGCAGAGAAAAAGGACATTTCCTCTTCCCGTGTGTCTCCTTCACCATCAAATCCACTTTTCCTTCCTATCTTTTCCTTTAAGAATAGGGTGGAAAGGGAAAGGGGAAGAAAGGACTAAAATTAGGCCTCCGGCACCACAATCATCAGACGAAACGCGATATTGCTTCTACTTCACGCCTGTTTTCTGTGTGGTTGTGGTATTACACTAGGCGAGCCGGCCCATTCCTCGGAAGATGTTAAAGCGGGCTCTACCACTGTTAGATGGATGGATGTTGTTATAAACTATCTTCAAATGCTCAACAGAACTAAATGACATTTGTTAAAGATGTAGAATAGAATCTGGAAGAACACACAAATGACTTATTAAGTTTTTTAATTCGACAATGAAGATCTTGCAAAAACCTATGTTCATTATTAAGAAACTCACTCCAAAATAAAATGTACATGGAATTTTAAAAGTACCCTTTTGGTATATTATCAGTACTTTAAAACTGTTAAATTTTATACTCTACCTATTTTGATGAATATCATAAAATGCATCCCAGTGTTTATCTGCATTTTTTTCTAAATCCTTTAAACGGTCCTCCGTAAACGTTACTATTGAATTTTTTTCTACCTTTTCTTGAGCAGCCTTTTCTTGTTCTTCGTCCCATTCTACGTTGTCCCTGAAATTTTAGTTTTAAATTTATTAATTAAACTTAAAACTTGAATATTAATGGCGGTAAATGTAGAGTACCAAGCATTAAATTCATAGAGAAATTGTTTATCATTTAAGAATCTAGTTCCTCCCGTGGGCTTTTTACGATGTCTTGTATATTCTAGCTTTCGTATATCGCAAGTTTTTACACTCTTACAAAATCTTTTTGGCAAATGAACAACAGTACCAAGCATTATGCTTGAAGACCTCGTCCACATTTTCTAGAAATCTGTTTCCAAACTGCGGTCTTGTATCAGACGGATCCATTAAGGTATTATAACAGTAAACTTATGTTATTTTTGTATTATAATTTAACATCACGTTTCCAACAGAACCAAGTAGAATAACAAGAACATAACCTATTATTTATGAATTTTTGGCAAAGTCAAATGTCAAAATGACAAGTCGAACATCCACTTCACAATTTAGGCAAAGATTTTCTGTACTGTACGGCTTTGTGTAATTAATCTTAATGGATTTTTTTTATTAATTATTTTCTCTTATTCCAGATGTTTTGATCTCAGGTCATCCTAACTAATTTAATTTCAGGTACTTTAGTTTAATGTTGGGCAGACATTTCGCTCCTTGTCGCTGTTTACTCTACGTATATGCTTTTATGTGGCAAGGCCTCAACAAGTTCATAAGAAACTTAAATTAATTAAATTACGCTAGTATAGTACCTAAACATGATCTTCGGTTAACAACAAATGAGTGGAACCATAACAAACCAGTAAAAAGTTAGGTTTTTTAGTTACCGCATTAACTTTAAGTATCCTTATTTAAACATTTCCTATTTATTGGCCAATAGTCATTTGGCTCAGTAAGTACTTTTGCTAGTTTATATTTCAAAAGTACGTATGATATGTTTGTTATAGAATTTGACATTATGAGATCATAAACTACGTTTCATGCTGTTTTCTGATCAAAGCAAACATCATAAAAACGATTCTTCGGATCATTAATGAGTTCCCACAAGCGAAATAGGTTTGTGTTAAACTTTATTACGTCTAAAAGTAGAAATTATATAGGTGCGGTTAAAAAAGAGAAATGTATCGCCAATAAAAACTTCCCTTTCTTACTAATAAAATAAAAACTTTTAAATTCCGTTTGATTGTTCATGTAAATAGTTTCTTTTAATAAGAAAGCTGATAGTGTATATTAGTCTGCAATCAACACCATGAGTTCTAGGCTAAACGAATCAAGTTCGAGGCTAATAGATGGAGATAAAAGTATAGTTGACATTTTTAATACCAATGCAAGTATACCTACATATTTTATGTTAATTTAACTTAATAAGTAAGTTTAACTTGCGACATAATAACAACAACAGTTGCGATTTCGAATCACTTGTTTTCCGATTTTCCGTTGCATTATATTACTCTGTCTCGGTTGCAAACACATCAAAACTAACAACTTCGAATAATAAAGTATCGAAGAATGAATCTTTTATCTATCTTTGTTGAAAAGTTTTGGTACAAGTTGCCTTGTCAACTGCGCTGTTTTTCGATCAGAGAAAAATTGCAATTTTGAATTTTCAAATTATGCGGTTACAAATTACAAAGAGTAATTTGCATCGAGACTTCGCATAAGTTATACGACAGAAAATTAAGAAAATCGCGAAAACCTAATCGAAGAATTACTCCAGAATCAAGAACAACCAAAGGGAATTAGGTAAAGCTGCCGCGTAAAAATGCGACTAAATACTTCATTTCTAGTTAAGAGGGACGAATAATTTATAAAAAACTTGTTTTCAAAAAAGCATTAATCTATTTATTGTATGTACACGTTAAATTTGTTCTTATCTCTTTATGTTTCGAATCCATACCGTACAACTTAACTAACTACTAACGAAGCTAACATTATTAAGGGCATATATTTAGCGAACTTCATCGACTGTTACATTAAAACTTCTTGAGCAAATTGAACGTTCAAATTTAACATGAATCGTGTTCGTACATCTCGTGTGCGCAAACATTACAACTAAGTTCCGAGTCCTAGCGACGTGGAACTTGTGCTGACGGTTTAGAAACTGTCGTCTGGTACCTGCCAGTCAATCACAACCTTTGGAAAATAGGAAATGGATCATACCAAACGCATTCTTCATTAAAATTCAATAAACTTAGACATTAAAAAATTATTGATTACATATTATGTTCTTACGGCATTAACTATAGTTCTCATTTTTTGTTTCTTTAGACGACGAAAACAAAATGTTTTATAACTTAGAACTTACTAACTAAGGTACCATGTCTAGAGCTAAAGAGCTCAATGAGCTAGATCCACATCACGGTATATATTTAGTATTGTAAATATAAAAACACACGGTATAAGGAAACGATGTCTACTGAGTTGTGTTTCAATGCTATCATTTTCGTCTCTAGTTACGAATTAATTGACGTCACATAAACGGATTATAATTACAATCGTAAGGGCAATTTATTGTTCGTATAGGGTAGACTATTTCTAATACAGACACCCCACTAGGCTCCATTAGAGCAGCGATATCGGGGCTGGGGTGCGGGAGGGAGCGAAGAGGGAGGTATCTACAAACAATCCCGCGGATATTGAACGCCGATGCGTTCGGAAATGCACCGCCAACGCTGCTGTGGCCGCGATGGCACATCTCATCTCGTCGGTGCCACCCAGCCTCAGTCGGTAGACGCGGCGTGTGAAGAAATGTATGCCCTCATTTTCATACTGATTCGTATTCAGGTATTCGAGTGCTGAAGCACGTTCTGATTATTATTGGGAATTATTCGCATATATTTTGATTTAATAATTTATTTAAAAAACTGCATTTCATATTAGCATATCCCTGAATGGACTACTAAATATGCAAATCTTTTCGACTTTGTTTTGACTATTTTTCTGTTGATTTTATGAATTAAATATTTTTTTTCTATAATTTAGTATTTGTATGCATGAGGTTGGCATGCTAATTATAAATCCTAACCTTTTTTCATACCCATGTGGGCAAGATATATACTATAGGCAATATTAACTGCGATACATAGATATAATGGGATGTAGGTGTAGGGGCGCAGCCATCTGTTGCGGTCAAGTGTACTCCTTCTGAAGTGGGTTGAGCCTCCATCCTTCATGGACCCAATAAAACGATACGCGAACGCTCTGTCCCGGCCTTTATAGCGTCGGTTAGTAGACACAAATTGAATTATCTCTACAGTATATTAGTTTTATTTTGTGGAAAAAAAAATAAAATTGCTACGTTATGAGTTTATCTTTTAGTTTTAAACATAGTTTATACGAAACTTTTACTTTTGAGACGCTGTGTATAGAAAATTAAATTAAGTTAGAAAGCAGGAAGCCTTTTTCGGTTGAAAATATAAGCGAAGTTTTATTTCTAAACTATAAATTAAACATTATAAATGCTAAAGTTTAGATGGGTGGATGTTTGTTAGAGTTTGTAGCCGAAACAGCTGAACGGATTTCGATGAAATTTGGCATGGACGTAAATGATAGTCTGAAAGAACACATCGGCTACTCACTTTTGTTTTTTTAATGCCACCTGGACGGAGACGCGGGCGAAAGCTAGTAAAAAATAAATAGTCTATTTGTTTATCTGTGATCATAATACTCGTATTAGTTTTCTACAGCCGACTTGATTAGTGAAGATAAGTGCGTCGCTTGTGCAAATGTAACTGCGACCAGACATGGTGTTTTGGCTTAAATCCAAAATTACAGCGCCCAAGCTCGCTCGGGGTTATAACTTAATATTCCGCGCCGAATCTAGATACTTTTATAGTGTATTACATCAAATAGCCTGGCAATTTCTATTTTATTACAAGTGCCAGGGGGCCATTTGCCAATGGGGCGAGGGCTTGTATCGAGTTAATTTTGTTGTTCGACAAAAATGAAAACATTTGTACACTTGTATCGCTAAGCGACATTAACAATTCACATAATTGAGATAATTACGCAAGAGTTGGTAGCAATTAGAGCGAGTCGGGCGCAGGCGGCATGAGGCACCAGGCACGAGGTAGAGGGTTCTCCTCACAAGAGCCATCTGGCGGGCATCCAACGTTCCTCCTTAACACGAGAAATTCACTCGTTCACCGGGAATTTTGCAATGACGATTTCACTCGAAAGAAGTTAAATCCGAAAATACTTTTATCGATGCGAACAACTTACGATAATATTTCGAATTTTATTCAAACGGTAAAAGTACAATCTTTTTAAATTCTAAGTTGTGAAGTTAGGCGCTTAAGCACGATTATAAAATGTTCCTTTATATTTTAATGTTAGAACTTAACTTCATCTCATCATTCAACTATTGGTTTAATTGATTCTTTATACTTTAAGGTAAGTACTACTTCTAAGTACATAGTGTTTATGTTTTGCTTACAGTACCCACATGATTTTAAGTTAGAAAAAATTGCCAAAGTATGGTAATGGAAATCTAATGTGAAAATATCAAATGAAACTTCAACTAGAATCACATTAAGAGTAGGTCAACAGACGTCTGAGTAATTAAAAATACTGAGAACGCATCTCAAAGTGGGCTGCAAAAACTATTTTAAGAAGCTCTTTAGAATGCACTGCATTTAATATTGAACTATGAAATCTTAATTTTAATTGTAAAATCAGTATTAAAAAGTAGTTTGAAGTAAAAAATATATGAGCAGCTACTTCGTATATTTCTTCCTCATCTTTTTTTATTGCATTTTGAAGAGTATTAAAATTCCTAGTGTTAAAATATTTGTTCCATTCAAATGTTTTTTTTATTGCAATTACACATCATGCTATATCTAGAAGATTATTAGCGTCTATTACATTTGTTTTTTATTGACATTCACAATATTGAATGCATGATTATTGACTAAGGCCTAGTCACTCTTTATTTAGGGTAGACTCCGAGTAGTGAGATGATGGATAATTCAAAATATTTCATCAATACAGAAGTTTCATTTAGTTTGTTCTCGAAGTGTTAAATGTTTGGATATTCATAAACATTTTTGGGCATGCCTAATCGTGTTATTGAATTTGGCTTAACTCCAACCTCTGCGGTCGGCGGCCGCGGTCGCGGCAAATATTGCCAAGGCTTCAGTGACTGAAACGTTTACATACATTTTTGAGATCTCACTGTAACTAAGTATTAGGATAATAACATTAAACATCGTAAGCGTTTACTCGTAGGACAGTTTGTACCTTAACTTATCTTACTATTACATATTCGAAAGTTTAGATATATGGATGGATGTTTGTTAGAGTTTGTAGCCTAAACAGCTGAAGGGATCTCGATGAAATTCGGCATAAATGTAGAGGGTTATCTGGAAGAACAAATAAGTTACTAGAAGTCGCGGCTAGAAGCTAGTATTTACATATAGAGAAGATAATGATATTAAAGAGATAATGAAAAAA